AGGGGCGAGCGCCGAGGGGGCCACCTGGAGGGGCCCGGGGCCCGGACCGGTTCGTTCCGCCGGGCGCGTGGGCGTCTGCCTGGTACTGCCTCCACACTTTGTCTCTGCTGGTCCCCGTCCCCGTCCCAGTCCGTCCCTGTCCCTGCTCAACCGGGACTGCAGGGAGCTGCCTCAGGGTGGGAAGCGAACAGCAGATGGAGGACCAGACTTGGAGGCCCAAGCTCAGCTCTGCACTCCGTGTACCTGGTGCAGGTAGAGCTGGCGGCACCTGGACAAAAGCCGGGAAGAGGGATGTGTGTGTAGGCGGGCGGGAAGAAGCATCTTCCCCAGGGAGGCCACGCCCTGACCACCGCAAGGCCAACCCCCAACCCTCTTTGCAGGCACAGGTGACAGGGCGCTGGGACACCAGACATCCACAAGGGGCCTTGATTGGATCTCTAATAGGAATAGTGTTGTCACAGGCAGAGTCCCCAAGCTAGTGAGAACACAGGCCAGCTCTCCGGAAAGTGCCCCTCCCCCACGTATGTCCTTCCCCCCCCTGCCAAAGTGCCCATTAAGGTCTGCTGGGGGCTGGGCAGCCCAGGGAGATGGTTGTCACTTAGGTGTGAAAATCCCTGTCCTTTGTGGCACCTGAAGAGCCCTTCCCACTACCTCCCGGCAGGCCCCTCCCACTGATAGCAGCAGGGGGCTTGAACCCACCTAGGCTTGGCGCCTGGGACCAAGGACACACGGCCCCTCCCCCAGCACCCACCCTGCCCTGCCCCAGAGCCACTGGGCCCTGCTGGGACTGATTCACACCCAGAGGTGGGGTGGGGGAGGGGAGGGCAAACGAGGTCTTCTGCCCTGAGGTTGGTATGCACTCAGAGGGTCAGGTCCAGAACCCCATCTCTGGACCTCTTGGGGGGGGGGGGCGCGGGGGTCTTTCCTGCCCTTCTCCAGAGGCAGCCACTGGAGGCTTGGGTGAGGAAACAATCCAAATGGAGATGAGGAAGGAGACCAGGGTCAGCCTTTTCCAGTGTGGCCTTGGGCAGGCCTCTCCCTTTCTGGGTCCCAATTCCTGCCTCCTGTGCCCTTCTTCAGCCA